TTAGAAGAAAATTATATAAGGTTGCCTTATTTTCAGTGCTTGCCTCTATTCCCAAATTCTAATTTAATTTGTTCTGATCTAATACAGTTTATATTTCTTCCCATGCATTACAAATAACTTTGATTGTAAATAATCCATACTTCATTATTTTGAAACCTTAATTATAACTCTTACTGCCAGCATCAGATAAATACATGGACATAGTCCATGGTGGTGACAGAGCGGCCCTCCTTAGCACGGTCCACATTAGTGCGGGAATCATCCATGTGCCCAGTAGACTGTGGACACTGTTCACAGAAACCAAGCCACATCAGTCTTCAGGACTGTATCAGCAGGATTTTAATGGCTCAACCTTTTTGGAATGTAGTGTAACCCAGAAGTATGAAACTTCAGTTTATAATAATTAAAATATTTATTTGGACCAAAGAAATAAGCTCATCTGTTTTGGGGGGAAGGGGTAAACCTTTCTTGAAATGTCTAAGTCTAAAATTCTCTTCTTAGACATTTTTAGTGGAAATTGACTACATAAAACAGGTAAACGCATGTAGCTTAAAGCTCATATGGAACACAGTTCAGAAATTTTTTTTTTTTAACCAAGCTGGGGTGCCGTATTTCCAGTAAATGGCAAGCAAGGGATGTGTTATAGGCACATTTAATTATGTTTTGTCTTACAATAATAATTGACATAATCCTTGTTTTTATTTTTATACAGAGCTTGTTTTATCACCAAAAAACATTTTAATTTAACATTTAATTTTTTTTAAAAATTTAACAAGAGACAGGTAAATTAGGTTTCTTACATCTGAGGAGCCTAAGGTTGAATATAATACGGACACAGAAGTGACTGACTGGTTGATGGCAGAGTAAGAACCATTGTAAGAGAAACACAGCGTGTTGAGAGCACAGTGGATTCAATGACATTTGAGCTGGGCCTCTTTTACAGGAATAGATGAGCAATGATTGTAGGTGATAGGGAGGTTTGAACTAGTATTTGAGCTAATATATATCAGGGAATGTATTGATGCTTTATGTATATTTTCATTTAATCCTCAAGACAGTCTTAAAGGGAGATAGGAGTATTGGGTCTAGATAGTCTAAGCCCCATTTATAGAAGTGCCAGGTAAATTAGATTCAGTGCTATCTTTCTATAAAACTCAGCTCTGTCAACCCGGACGAAGGAAATATCCATTTTCTTCTTAAGATGTTGGCTTTGCTTCTCTAACAAAGACAGAGTGTCTCTACAGCATTGCTATTTGCTATCCAGGCTTTTGGGTGACTGCGGAATTCAAATGGAAAGAAAAGATGTGTCAGGGTTGCATCTTCTCCAAGAATTTTGAGCACAGCCAGTGATACGTCAGAAGTTTATCCTTAAATATCCAATTCTTCATTCTCCTGTGAGCTTTCAGTTGCACTAGTCTCACTTTGATGCTGCTGTTATTTTATTGTTCTGACCTGAAATTTTCTTTCTTTGGTGTTGAAAACAGGAAGCTAATGAAGGAGTAACCATTTTTGTTTTGATATGTGGTGTAGCAATAGAATTCTTTGTTTAAAATCTCTTTTAAGTATGTTTGACTTTTATTAAAGTTAACTTGGGATTTGTGTACTCTGTATTATACTAATAAACACATGCTACACAACCAAAAATACCTTTGCTTTTGACATAAAAGCAAAGATTTTTGGTAGCATTAGAATTTTTCTTCCCATTTCAATATTATGTTTTAAAGGTTGATAAGAGTGGAGGGGAAGGGTGGAGGAATTTCAGTGAAGAGTTACCATCATCAGTTACTTGTAAATCTTAGTATTTCTATTTATATACTGCTCTTCTTTTATTGTTTCTCAATATTTTATTTTCCTATAAGATGAGGAAGGAAGACTAAGTATGTCTGTATTAGACTTAACAGTAAGAGTGACTGTTAAAAAAGCATATGCAGGGGCACCTGGGTGGCTCAGTGGGTTAAAGCCTCTGCCTTCGGCTCAGGTCATGATCCCAGTGTCCTGGGATGGAGCCCCACATAGGGCTCTCTGCTCAGCAGGGAGCCTGCTTCCTCCCTCTCTCTCTGCCTACTTGTGATCTCTGTCAAATAAATAAATAAAATCTTAAAAAAAAAAAAGTCATATTCAGTTGTGTTATAGGTCAGTTTAATTTGAACAATAGTTGTGCTAATTTTTTTTTAGATCTGTGGGAGTTGGTATGGAGAATAGTTGAAATAAATGACTAAAAGGCCATGTTTTATTTTGTTTTAAAGATTTCATTTATTTATGGGAGGAAAAGCTGAAGTAGGGGGAGGGGTAGGAGGGAGAGCAGGAGAATCCTCAACAGACTCTCTGTTGAGCAGGAGCTCTGTCCTTTGACCCTGAGATCATGACCTGGGCCGAAATCAAGAGTCCGACGCTCATCCAACTGAGCCACGCGGGTGCCCCTGGGTTTCTTTTATTTTTAAATAGGCTTCTTGCCCAGCATGGAGCCTTAGGCTGGATCTTCAACTCACCACCCCGAGATTAAGACCTGAGTGGAGATGAAGAGTCGGACACTTAACAGACCACTCCCCCACGCCATGTTTTATTTTTTTGTGTGATGGCATATTTGAAGTAGGATTTTTTTTTTAAGAGCGCACACACACCTGGTACTAGCAGCCCTACGTAGTCTCTAATTTACCATAGAATGATAAGTAAAGGAGGGTCAGCTCTTTTACTTACAGGTGACTTTTCAGACTCTTCCAGTCCCTGTTTCTCACCCACCAGGATCCTGTTGGGCCCTTCATGCTCTTTTGCTCTTCCTGCTTGCCTTGAGCAGTAATTGGGCTATTGCAGCATATATCCTTTTCTTTTTCCTTATTTTCTCTCAGAGCCGGCTACTTTCTCACCAGTGCATGGTATGCCTGTGGTTTGCAGGCGCCGGGAAGAGGTGGGCACAGGTGTTTCAGGGCTGCTTCACCGCCATGCCTGTAGTGCTCTGCAGTCAGCCAAACCAGTCTGGGCCATAGTTTCATGTGCTTGAGATGAGTGTTGATGATGTAGAACTTATTACAAGGATATTGGCTCTTGTTTTCTTATGTTTAATTTGGCTATATATTTATAAATGTAAGCTCTAGGTGTGTGGATTATTCGAATAGAAGTATTAGTTAGAAACTGGCACTTTTTTCTCCCCAAGGAAATAGATCCTGTTTAACATTATTTCTAAGTCTGTAGGACTTCTCTCTAGCAGTATGCTCACACATTGAGAAGAGTAGAAGTGTTCCCTCCCGTTGATCATATTCTTCATGCATTTTCCTCTGGGACTGTCGGGTCTTCAGACTGCCAGCTTCATGAAAACATGTGACTTAAGACATTTTAGTCTTTAAATCTTTAGTCTTAAGTCTCTCATAGGAGACTTGAGATTTTGGATGCAATCTACCCCAGTAAGGGATTTTTAATGTTTTTGTTTGAACTTCAAGTGAAAGAGAAAATTTGTTTTGGAGAGAAACCCAGTTAATCTTAGATTCCCTCCAGCTCAGAGACTGGTGATCACTTTACTTGAAGTCATTCTGCTTCTGAATGGTCATCCATGGTTGGTCTGAAGTGGGGAGGAGGAACCATCTTTCCAAACCACCTTACTTTGTCTCTACCTGGCTGTTACTTGAATCCCCAAGCCCAGTCTGCTGCTCTGTCCTCCCATTTGTAGCTGCCTACGTAAGTTCATCATCCTTTCCATTGTCTCTTCCCATTGTCTTTGATTGTTTATTTCTGAGCAAAAGGTATGGATTAGGAAAATAACTCAACCACTAAAATAACTGAAGTTGATTCCCAGACCTTTAAATTGCTTTTGACATCCACACCAACAAATTGCATGTACTTGTGTTGTCATATTTGCTGAAAGTCATTGCCTATTCATTCTCTGTAGTGCTTTTCTTAAATCAAAAGGTAAAATTGAGATCACTTGGAACCAGCAAAGACCGATGATGAGGCTTGAAATCCATAATAGGATTTGAGTGTTGGAAATATAAATTGAAACTATTCCCCCTTAGTCAACTTTGATTTAATACTCAGTTGAACATCCCTAGAAGGATAGCTCATTTAGTAATGCTTGCATGCCTCTGTGCTTGCATGTCTCTGCAATCTTATGCGGGGCGGGGGGAGAAAAAAAAATTAAATTTTGCTCCAAACTAAAAGGATTTGTGTTTGGTTTGAAATATTCAAAGTAGGTTTGGTGAAGGAGCTACACATACGAAAATGAACCTGTTATTCTTCAGGAACTGTCTATCTTTGGTGATACGTTACTGAGTTTAACAAACTCTTTTTGCCTCACCATATATTCAAATTAAATGAGAGCAGCTAATTCCAAGAATCCAGCAGATGTTACCAAGTAGAAGACAATCAATGATCTTAAGTGTTCCCTATTTTCAGGGCATATGTATGTGGGCAGTTAGACTAGGTGACCTCTAACGTCACTTTTACCTCCCAGAATGTATGTATCAGCCATAGCACGTCCAGAGAAAGAGCAGGAGACATCATGTGAAAACACTGGGAGCACTGATGACAAGACTTTCCACCTCTTAGGAAAAAGGAAGGAAAGAATATTACAGATGGATGTATTGGGTCTGAACTGAGGTCCGAGTTTGCACAGCTTTTGACAAGTAGCCTGGATACAGGAAGCCATCTTTCCTTAGTTAAAAAGAAAAAAAATCACAATTACGCCCTTTCTTCCCCTCTTTCCCCTACCCACAATAGAAGTCTTAACTGTGGGTCAGCTTTTATCAACGTTTTTGAGTAAAAGACTTTCATTCCTTTGGAATTTCAGAAACAAGAATTTGTTTTCTGAAAAACACATGCCATTGGATACCTTTAACTTGACATGTGATTGAAACTTTTGTTTTAATAATTCCATTTTCTACAAAGGCTGCCTCTATATTTATTAAAGATGAAAACAAAACCACTTCTTCTTTCATTACATTTTCTGCTTTCATGTTCTGTCATTCAGAGATCTTTTTTTCTTTCCCTCTCTCTGTCTTCTTTTCCCCCAGCTGTCGGCAGCATCCAGCCCCTCCAGTCACAGTCCTCACAGAGCTTCAGGAAAGGACCCTTTTGCAGAGCTCTCTTTGGAGGATTTCTTATAAATCACTTTAGGTATTGCTGCTTGTTGGGTGAGATGGGGAGTTAAATACTTAAAAAGTTTATCAAATATTAAACACAGTTCACTCTTCTCCTTTGTTTCTTTAAAGGACACTATCTCGCTCTTCCTCCTCCTCCTCTGTTCTTTAGGTGAAGAATAAAAATAGACCTCAAAATAGGACGTAAGGACAAACAATTTTTGGAAACTGCTTTAACATAATTAGAAGGTGTGAAATCAAAGAACCATCTCATGTTTACATATAAGCATCCACTGCTCACAGCAGATGGATGGGATCAAATACCACCCTTAAGAACTGGGTGTTTGTGTCATTCTTAAAAGATGTATGGAGAACAACACAGTTCTACACGTTGGATTAGAGTTTGACTGCGAGCATCTCTAGTTTGATTTTAATGTCCCTGAACATTATTTGTGAAGAATTCATTTTAACGGTTTCTTTAAAATGTTATATTTATGTGTGCCTTTTCATTTATAACCAGTAACATTTTCCCCCAAAATAGACTTTTTTTTTTTTTTTTTTAAGTTAAGGGCATGTGAATACTTTATGCCCTTTTTGATAGAAGAATTCTGTGTTTGATCCACACTGCCTCTTTTTGCTGGAAGGTGATGAAGTTTGTTCTTCTTGGTGCCCTAGCCCCCAGTGGAGATAGAGCTTCTAGATCTTTGAGAGTTGAGAGATCTTCTGATTTGACAAGTTTATTAGCACATCTACTTCAGTAATGTCTTTGGATGAGCAGTTTAAGGGATATCCTGAGTGAAGATTCTGAACAAATAGTGAGGCCCTGTTGAAAACTCTTCCTTCAGAGATCTTTCAGATTTTTGTTTATATTAGTAAAGAAGTGATTTAGTAAGCATAATATTACTCTTCCTTTAATTATTTAATTTTATGATATCATTTGGAAATGATACCAGATTGTGCTTTTCTCAGTGAGATTTTCACATGGAATGTTTGTGTTCAAGGAGAGATGTTCTCAGTTTGTCAGTGAAAAATTGTTCATTCATTTTCTTTCTTCCCCAGTCTCTTGGTTTTAGTAATTAGATATATTTGGAAGTCCCTCTAATTAGGCTTCAGATATTGAGTCCTGGCACATGATGAGCTGGTATTAGTCACCTAGTTTTGTAATCAGGGCTGTGATAAACATGGAGTAAACATTTCTGGGCCAGTTGAATGGTAAAAGCTACAGAGCATTTTTTTTTTTTTTTTTTAATGAGAAGACATCTTACAATGCTGTAAATGAACTTACACTCTTCTTCTTCTTTTTTTTCCCTTCCAGATACAGTTTATGTAACTAGATGGAAGAGAATGGAATTATTCCAAAAAGACAAGTGCTCAAGCAGCAAATACTTACTTCCAGCAAAATCCAAACTGCTGTCTCTTAAACTCTCTTCTTCCATTAGAATGCTACAGTAACCCAGTGAAGGCCCATGAAGGAAATTGGGACTAGTGTATAGGAGAACATATCAATACAGTTTATAAAGCCAAGGATTGCCATGATTTCAGACTAAGATCTGTCTTTTTGGTGACTAACTTTTCAGTTCTTTCAACTCTTATTAATACCCATAATCAGTAACCTACCAAGAAAAGACCCTTATTTGGAAAGTGTGAAATTTGTATTTGGAAAAGCTGCCTGGAGAGAAGAGCTGTGTCCTTTACTGTAATGCAACAGAACTCTTTTGGGGGTTATCAAAATCGTAATTCTTAATTATGCAGTATCTTTCTTTTCTCCAGTCCTCACAGATACAAGAACAGTAACTAAAATTAACTTTTCTTTTAAAAAAATTATATATTCAGTTTGCAGTAGACATTCCTTAAGTATTTGTATTTATTTATGATTATCAATTTACGTAACATTAATATTGTATCAGACCTCCTTATGAAAATGAGTATGGATGTGCACAGTATGTTTGATTTTTATCCATAAAAGTGAATCTGATTCAGAATGCTTTTCAGCTGACATACAGAGCACTAAATATTTTAAGGCAAGTCCATAGGTCTGAGTCGCTTAAGAATTCTCAGTCTCTATGGGATTTAGGGAAGCATTATAAATGCATTAATCCTTATAGTCAATTCTGTGCCTAGGATTTTGCAAGGGAACAGTTCGCTGACTAGGAAAAGCACTACATTTTAAATTCAGCATTAGTGCATTGGGAAGGAACTTTATTGCTTTGTGCTTGGCATGTCATTATTTTCCATTTGACATTAGGGCCTTTCCAAAATGAATGTGAGGAATTGCTTTCACTTCAAGACTTTCCTTCTTTTCAGTAAAACTCTAGGAGGTGTTAAGGGGGGAGGGGAGGGGACAAAATCCTTGAAACCTTTTATTTGGCTCATGCCATGTTATGATCATGTACCTTTTAAATAAGGGGAAATAGTATCTTTAAAGTTAATGTCTAGCCAAGAGTTTAGTTAACGAAGAATTAAACTGCACTGTTGATCGGTGCTTTGTGTAAATACATCTTAACGTTTTGGTTGAGAGGGGCCTTAAGAAGGACAGTTCGTTGTAGGAAAGCAATTCTGTACATGAGTTTAAGCATACTTGTTGCATTGTCTCTGCAGATTCTATTTTTGTTTACAATATTAAAATGTATGTTAGCAAAAATGGGTGGATTTTCAAATAAAATGCAGCTTCCACAAAACTTTTTGTTATGGTATTCTGGTCTGAGGTGCATTGTTTGTTTTGTTTTGTTTTGCTTTCTGCGTTTTCTTTATCATCCGTATCAATTTTTTTGCTAGTAAAAATATATCCAGGTGATTATATTTGCTGACTTAATAAAATGTAAATTTTATTTGTTTTAACTTAATTTCCTAAAAGATTGATCTTTGTACCTTTTGTTTCCCCTCTAGACCCTTATTGATAAACTAAACCACTTACTAAAATAGTTGATTTTTGTGTTTTGATCAGAGGTCTTCAATCAGGTAAGTGTAAAGGGAGAAAATGGTTGTGTTTGGCACATTGATGCGTGTGATTATTCTGCCAGAGACACCTCTGAATGTATCACGTTTAATATGGATTAGTAAGTAGGATTCGTCGTACATGATGGAGGGATTAAAGACTTTGCATTGATAAGTGTCTGCATAATATTTGCCGTGGTTGGAAAAAAAACAACTTTAGCCAATATACTTTGTTAATTTTACTAGTTTCTGAGTTCCATTAATATTAAACCATTTTCATATAAACTGGGAAATTGTACTTTTGTAGTTAACTTCCTTAACATTATCACAGATTTGACTGTTCTCTTGTGTTTGAGTGAATCTTCTATTTCAGGTCTACGGCTTGTTCCTTTTATAATTACTTTATTATTGTTGTTCTTGTTGTTCAGGTCTCTGGCTTGTTCCTTTTATAATTACTTTTATTATTGTTGTTGTCATTGTTATTGTTATTTGTGTGTTTGTGAAGGTGCTTCAGAAATATTTTCATCCTATTGAAACAACTTTGGGACTTGTTTTATAGGTGTTACCCACATTTTACCCATTTTACAGATTGGAATCAGGAACTGGGAAAGCAACTTGCTCAGGTTGATAAGCTAATAGACAAAGGAGTCAGGTCTTTGGTTTCATGATCCATTGTCCTTTTTATGACCTGCTGTTTATAAACCAAAAAGGGAATTTTGTCCCTCTGCATTGTCGACTGACAAATACTTCGCTCCTGTGTGGTCTTCTTCCATGAAGCACATTTTCTGCTTCTTGCTCTGATGCCCATACACCATGGGCAAGGAGAAATACAAAACACATGATCATACAACTTTAGTCCCAGTATAACAAGTGAGGTACATTAGCTGTTGAATGCTTAACTGTATTAGGTTATAAACCTGTACATACCCACACCATCTTAGTACCCAGCTACCAAGCTGGCGGTGGCTACAGAGGAGGTAAGATTATTAGCTGCAGAGGGCAGCTATACTCATCACAGGTTATTTTCAAAATTAGTTTAGTTTTGACCTAACATTGTCATTTAAAATTTTCTTAAAGATTGACTTTTCTTTCTTTTTTTTAAATTTTTTAATTTTTTTTTAAGATAGCCTTTTCTTAACCAGTGATTATGAGAGTCCATATTTAGGAAGAGGCCTTATGTTAGACTAGGAAATTTTCTCCACAAATAAAACGTGAGCCCTGGAAAAGAGGCCTTAATGGGATAAGTTTCTCCTTGAGCTAAAACAATTTCAAGCCTCTTCTCTTGTTCTTTATCATCAACAAACATGTTTTCAAATTCTGAGAATTCAGAGTGCTGATACAAATGCTTATTTAACACTTAGTGGAGAGAAAAACATCTCTACATTCAGGATGAGTGTGGCCCCCATGTGTTTGACAGTGGCTGGGTCACAGAGTATATGGAGAGGCCACAGCACTCAGCCAGAGGAACTTATTCTTACCTTACAGAAAAGATAGCTTCACAGCTTCCATCAGTGGCTACTGCAGATAGCTTAGTTCCTTGTTCAGCCATATTTGCTACTTTCCATTGGATCTGACTGGCCTGGAATTCTGCTGTCTAAATAGGCTCTGAATGGAAAGGCTGCAGTATTCATCTTCCATTTTGGTGTGTCACCAATCAGAAATGTTTTCTAGGGGTGTCTGGGTGGTTCAATCAGTTAAGCGACTTTGGCTCAGGGTCATGATCCCAGGGTCCTGGGATCCAGACCCATGTCAGGCTCCCTACTCAGCGGAGAGCCTGCTTCTGTCTCTCCCTCACCACTCCCCCCTGCTTGTGCTGTCTCACTCTCTTCTCTGTCAAGTAAATAAATAACATCTTTTTTAATTCTAAGTCCCTAGCTAGTACTTCCATATAATTTAGTGGCCAACTCAAAAGGCATAAAATGAAATCTGCACTTCTCTGATCATTTTTGTCCTGAAGTAGCATAGGAACTGAAAAGCTTTTTGTTTCTGTATAATTATGTTTTAAAGGAAATTCAAAGGGCCAGGAAGAGGCAGGTAGAGGGACTGCAATAGGAGGGGAAAGATGCCAGATAAGTCCAGCAAGGATGGCTGTGCCCATTGTGTGGTGGTCAGAACAACCATTGTTAGGAGTGAATCTTTGATAACTACTGATAACAGGACTTAATTTATGGTGGACAGAATTTATATCACCTGTGGGTCCAAAGTGGAAATGAAAGAATGATCGTTCACTTCATCTTATAAAGGTTAAACTGGGGTCATACTGGCCTAAGAGATAAGAATACAATAGGATAATATGAAATGATAGAAAACACATAAAGGTCTCTGTCCCCTCTTCTGGCACAGAGCTAAGACCACACTAGGAGCATCTTTTGTTTTAATTGGTCTTGACCCCAGTTCCTGACAAAAAATTACTCATTCCTTGGAATTTCCTGTCTTTTGTTTGAATGAGGCAGCTCTTGGTGGGCTCCTGGATAGCTTCAGGACGAGGACTGGTCATCCAAGAAGCTCGCCTTTCAGCCCAACCACATCCTTCAGGATAGAGGGAGTGGAGACAGAGCTAATGATGGAACATGCCTGTGGAGGGACGAAGCCTCCGTAGAAATCCCAATGTTAAGGGATCTGGAGAGCTTCCAGGTTGGTGAAAAAATTCACTTGCCAGGAGGGTGGGGCACCCCACGTTCACCGGGACAGAAGCTCCTGCACTTGGTATTCTCAGACTTAGGGATCTCCATCTGGCTGTTGTCAGTATGCTTTATCATATCCTTTATAATACTGACAAGCGCTTGGTGTTTCCCTGACTTCTGTGAGCCATTCAGGTAGATCATCAAACCCCCAGGTGCCCCACTTATAGGTAGTCAGAAGTTCAGGTGACAATCTGGACTCTGGGGCATTGGGGAAATGTGGGCTATCTTGAAGGACTGAGTCCTTAAACTCTGGGGTCTGCACCAACTCTACTTAGTGTGAAAGTTGAATTCTAGGGCACCCTGATGGTGTCCTACAATTATTTGGTGTGGACATGTCTGGTGTCAAAAAGTATTGTGAGTATGAGATTAAAGGAGAAACAAGCGTTTTTCTCATGCGTTTAATCTTAATAGCTGAGGTGCATTCCTGTGATGGAGATGGCATTTCAAAAGAGTAAAGATAAAGAGATGGACCGTTTAATAAGTGGTTTTAACGGGCACCATAAAGCTGGCGAAGGGTGACAGAATTCCCTCCAACGTATACCAGTATAAATTCCAAATGAAAGAAAGGGTGTAAATGTAAGAAATTAGATGAAAATATAGGTGACTATCTCAGTCAAATAGCAAAAGGGAAAGGATATGATAAAAAACAGTTTATCAAAGAACTGATGATCAATGAAAAAAGTGAATTAAAAAAATCTAGTAATAACTAGAAGATTCAGTGGGAACAATAGAGCTTTCCAAGTGTAAGGACATTCTCAGTGCTTTTGTATGTATTTGTTCATTTAATCAAGTCTATGGAGAAGGTACATTTGCTATGTCTATTTTATAGATGAGGAAATTAAAGCCTGGAGTACTTCACTTAACTGATTTTTATCAACTAGGTGAACTGCAGTCCTGAGCATTTGGTCTGGCTATAGTCTGCGCATAACCACTTAGCTGTATGTGCTGGTGTAGGAGGATGCCATTTTCCTGTGTGTGTGTGTGTGTATGTGTGTGTATATATATGAGTGTGTGTATACACACACGTAATCGTGTGTAATTACATATATGTAATTACGTGTGTGTGTGTATACGCACACACATAAAAACAGCACAGGTAGGAGTGCATGGGGTTTGATTGCTAATTGAAGGCTGCGGTGACTATAACCTAGTAACAGCTTTTTTGGATGGAAGTTAGCTAGAATTGTCAGAAGTCTTGAGAGT